TGGTATCTGATGTCAGTTAGGTATTACTTTAAGATCTCCATCAAGATCCTTTTTCCAGGAGGCTCCTCCAGAATTACGTGGTTGGCCCATCGAAGGGAGGGGTGGTTTCATTCGGAAGGAGCATTGGCTGGTGAGTGTTAATAGTCAGTCGAATATGTGCTGTTGGAAATGATTGTGGTAGAGTTGATATCGTCGTAATCAGTCGGGTGAAGTCAGGAAGTGGGGGAAGTCCGCCTTTGGCTGTCTTGCTCTACCAATGGTGAGCGTTAGTGATCTCTTTAAAAACAACCAGGTAGAAAACAACCAGGGTGAAAATGGCGCAGGTGGTTACCCCATCCCTCGAGAAATCGCCCGCCCTGACTGGTTGCTGCGATAACGATTGCGCATTCACAGTTGCAATCAATCCAAGTATACTAAAATGTGGCCCATGTTTGGCGTAGCTCTCTGTTCTCTGTCAGTCCGACTTGGCCAGAACTGGTCCAGACAACCCCTCAAACTATGATCATTTTGTTGTCTCAAAACTTCCTCGTGGTGATATGAATGTCAAGCAGCAGAATGAGAATTACAAAAAAATTTTCCAGAAAGTTCGAAAAGGCGCTGTTCGGCTTAGGGAGAGGAGGTAATTTCACACTTCCGCTAGTTTCTGCGGCTAGTTCCTGTTGAATTACACGTTTTACATTGGGGATATTTATGAACTCTTGCCAACTGTAAACGAAGCATAGCTTTACAGGACTTTACAAGCCCACAGGAGGCGCAGGCAGTAATTGATGGGGAGCAACAAACTGCTCCCACAGGTCAACCTGCGCCTTCAAAAATTCACAGCTCTGTTGACTAGTTCCAGTTTAAGTTTCCAGTCTTGTTAGGTTACCCTGCTCTCAGCTTGGTTCCAGTTCCAGTTTCATAGAAATACCGAATATTCAGGTTGTGGAGATGACAGCAGCCGGTGTTCGTGACGGCAAGTTTATCGATCCGGTGATGAAAAGAATTCGCCATGATAAGGACATCGATGAGGTGGACATAATGACGACGTTTTTGGACTACGAGGAGGTTAGAATACTGTGTTCGAGCCAGTAACTGAGTTCGAAAGCAGCGCGGAAAGGACTAGGCGCTAGTTTCTAACGCAGAGAAGTTTCTGAAGAGAAAACAGCGGAACCGGGAGAAAAATTCAGTCTCATCTTTTGGCTAAACGAGCTGCTGGGACATAATACTGTCTATGGACTTTCGATTCATGACTGACAGTCATTTGGGAGCCCAAGTAGGCTACAAAGGGGCTGAGCATTAGTTGGGGAAAGTTGGGCACTGGTTTAGAGGTATTCTGTGTATATGTCTAGTATGCTATAATATGTCCAGTAAACCTGTTAGGAAGTCCTAGCTAAGCATTTTTTGCATTGTAGACAGGGCACATCCTACTGCTGGAGGGAATTTTCGGAAAATACGACCTCACCTCAATTTCGTTTTCTGCTACAACCCCTCCCCCATCTCTACCTACTATCACTTCAGCTTTTCCAATGTCGTTTTCCAAATGTCCCGGAATTTCCATTTTTCCCCAAAATTTCCGTCGAGCAGGAGGGGGGGAGGTGTACAGCACTAGACCAGTCAAACGGGAAAAACCGCGAAAAGTTAACAACCGAAAAAAATTTCCGCAGCGCGATAAATTTCTCTCAGAAGCGGATACGACCCCATCATCTCCGACGAGCAAATACGGCCCTCGCAATGATGAAGTTCTCTTAACGATGTGACTAGCGCCCGTGAAACAGGAAAAACAATTATCAAAAAAACATTTTCCCGGATCCAATACGAACCCTTCCCTCCAGCCACCAGAAACGGGATTTTCCGACGTGGGACGTGCCCTGATCGTAGATCCGACCCAACTTGGGCGAAGCTAAATAATATATCTTTCACGTCTTCCTCTTGTGAGTTTACTAATCAAGAAGGGTATGTGGCAAGAGAATCGTAATTCGCCGCGCCAGTGGGCGTCGCGTGCGACGTCGCGCCCGCTAATGACGACGATTTTAGGTGGTATTGGTCGAGAATAGACAATGTATGACCAAAAATAGACATAAGTGTCTACCATGTCCTTGTCTACATGAAATCCGATGCTCCAATCGAAAGGGTGCAAATTGAGGAAACGTCGCGCCCATTGCCGCGCGCTACGAAGCGGCATTTCACGGTTCTCTTGCACGTCTTCCGATCAAAAAGGGCAACGCGGACCTAGCACCTTGTTCACTGTGCTCTATGTACGGGAAAGCTAACCATCATTACCATTCACTGCTGTCAAGCGACAGTACCCTATCACTGCAGATTGACTGTATGAGAGGGGAGGGGCATATAAACACGTAAGAAGATAGGATTTAATAACATATTCTACACTACTAATTGTATGGGAGAGTCAAGCCTACCGT